TCAGTAGGACTTGGCAGTTACCAATACTCTTTGACAAATCTGTCCAGTAGCCTGTTTATTGAACCATAGAAATGGACTTCCTTACTTGAGTCTGTATGAGGATAATGAGCCAGAGAGCTGAGCAGACAGATTACCTTAAGCAGCAGCAAATGCATTATCATCAATTACAGTATCTGTACAGTTCATTGTTACAGCTCAATAGAATATCAAGAATTGTTTTAATTATTTAATTTCCCTTCTGATCTTAAAAAAAAAAGAAATAAAGCAGTAAAAAATAAATGAAACCCTTTTCAGTGAAGTATAAAATATTTTCATTACTGCTACCTAATTATTTACTTGACTTAAACTTCATATAACTCCTGCACAAAACAATCAAAAGAGAATTGCAATTAAAAAGAGCAGCTATATCAATGTTGCAGGTTTCCTGACAGCACAGCGACAGGTCCTTGACAAACACGTAAAACATCTTTTTGTGGAATTCTGCTTCTGTTGAGATTCATTTCCACCATTCCCCTTCCATTCTCTCTGCCTCCAGAAGAAGAAATCTGAAAATCTGAGTGTTCAGATGCAATAGAGAGGAGCCTTAGAACTTTGGAATGCTCCCAGGCTTCCCACTGAAGAAGCAGGAGTAAGCCTGGCAGAAAAAAAACATATTTAGAAATGTCAGACTGCCATTGTGGAGAAGTCCCATGGCTATATATATGGTTTGGCTTCGAGTCTGCCCTGTGAGTGGCCATAGACTCCCTGACGGTCACAGAGTCTCCCAAGGCAGTAAGACAATACAGAATCCAATGTAATAAACCTGATATCCCAGGCTCTGAGAAATTCACCTTGTGTTTTTCCCCTCAAGCTTGGATTTCAGCACTGTGCTTTTCCTGCAGTCCTAAAGCACTCTACCTAGCAGGACTATTATGAGCTTGACAAGCATATCCTAATGATACACTCCAAGACAAAGTGCTACTTCTGATGGGTGTAGATTTCAGTCTACCTGAGTCCTTCTTCCTCAGTAAAATGGAGATGCGCGTATTTCCTATTACTTCACGTAAATGAAAGGAAATCATTACATCAGTGGGTGGTGAAGCACTGGAACAGGTTGCCCAAGGAAGTTGTGGATGCCCCATCCCTGGAGGCATTCAAGGCCAGGCTGGATGTGGCTCTGGGCAGCCTAGTCTGATGGTTGGTGACCCTACACATAGCAGGAGGTTGAAACTAGATAATCTTTGAGTTCCTTTTCAGCCCAGGCCATTCTATGATTCTATGATTTTAACAGACCGGGGAGAAGCTTTGAAATTCAGGTGACAGTAGCACATAAGTAGCTTAGCTGCAGCAAAACAACCCACCTTTAAGGTGTGATGTAAAAGAAACATTATCAACTTTTGTATTTTTAACCTACAATTCTCAATAAAACTAAAGAAATGACTAATTGGAACATCATAGCCATATAAAATCTTGGCAATGTCAAAAAGGAGCAGCCGGGTTTCAGTGCAGAAAAGTCAGATTGCTTTTAGGTGCATATATTCACACATGCATCATATTCACACAGATGATCACACAGGATGGTACAATACTTAACAGGCTACAGCTTTAGTGAGGGGGAGGTCTGTAGATACCATTGGGATAAAAATGACAGCATTATCCAAGGGTGTAGAACACGCAAGTAGATGTGTGTTTGTATTTTATATGACTGAGGCCTTATTCCACTGAATTTGTTAGAGGGAAGATACATCGTTGTCTTTCACAGCACCAAATTTACCCACATTATCCAGCATTAATCAATGGAAAACTAATAATCACATCATCATATAAATTGATCTCTCTGACAGGGCAAGGATGATGACATTAGCCCTGTAAGAATATTAGGTCTAAGGCCCAGAGGCATTAACTGCTGTTTAACCAAAAGGTAAATCTCTCAATGAAAGGCAACATCATACTATTATCCAACCTGCAATAAATATCTCATTTCCTACCATTCAGCTCCTGATACCAAAGAGTAAAACTTGCACTTTGCTTCCAGAGATTCTTCATTAATTTCTATTGAAGACATATATGAAAAGTGATTATATGGCTGTAATGGTCAAGTCCTGCAAGGCGTTATGCCAGCACAGAGGATTAAATGCAGCATCTGAATTCTACAGAGAAAGACAGAAGTTGAAGACAAAACGTACTTAGTCAAGGACACTGGGCAAGACATAGGAAGATGATGGCCAACCAGAAATAGATATCCTCAATGGCTGAGGAAGTATTGGTCCTTAAAATTGCACCACTCTTCAACTTCTAAGAAAACTCACATAAGCTCGAGTTGTCACTTTTATTGTCTCTGCTCAGAAACAGCTGAAAATCCTATAGCTGGTACTTTTCCACGGTATTTGAGCCAAGGATTGGCAAGATTGTGTTGTCACCAAGTACAGTTTCACCTCAGTCTCCAGTGTTTGCTACATTCTCAGCAGTCTCACATGTTTTGAAAGCATCTTTTCTTTAATCAAACACATTAAGCCAGAATTATGTCAGGTCTCTCCTCTGTACATTATTCTACTCCATACAATCTAGTTCTGCCCATAAGCATGTATTTCTCCATTATCTCATGGTAATGCATAGCCTGCTTTGGTTGCATCTGGAACACTGTCCCAAAATTACGATTTTCTTCTAATATTGTTCATTTTTCTTTATTAAAAGCAAATGTCACTTCTTGAAATCTCTAAGGCTGCAGTTTAGACCGCAGGAAACAGAACTGCATTCAAAACTTACTATACTTCAATGTGTTTGTTAATCAAATATTGATATCTGCTTAATGTTTCTTTACAACAAAGTATTAGATCTCCCCTTATGTTTTTCTTGTTGACCTCAGCTATCAGCTTTCACATTCACAAAACAGAATATTAAACAAAGATTCAGCTTAGAGTTTCAGATCTACAATCTTGCAAAGCCCTTTTTCATCCCCATACAGAAAATGCATCAGCTGTTTCAAAAACTTTTAATCATGATGATCTCACATACTGAGCGTGTATTTAAGTAAAAGCCACTCATTTATGATGAAGCTAAAAGCAGAGGAGAAGAGTACTGAACCATAAGGTAGAGAGTTAATGCCTGGATGTCCTTCTTGTGCCAATGCTGCCGACAAAGCTCAAGTGCAAATCAAATGCCTTATTGGAGGACATTTTTGGCAGCTTAAAAAGAAGCAGAGTTAACTCAGGTGTGTTTCTGAACCTCAGTTATGAAACCATTCTCATGCACTGTAAACTATCATTTGTTATTTTTAACCCTTGGGCTCCCACTTCTTGTTTTCATTTTGTCAAAGCAAAGGAATGTGAGAGATGTCTATTAGACTCCTTCGCTCAGCCTGAGGGTTAATTACTCAGTTTGGTAGACATTTGAAAATATTATGTTACCTCTAACGGCAAAATTGATAGAAGCTTGTTTCAGGCTCACTTTATGTCATTGTGGCAGATTAAATTAACTAATCATAAATTATGCTGGCTAAAGTACATCTGTTACTCACTAAACCTGCAGATGGAAGGGAAGGATTTTTTTTTTCCTCAATACAAAGTAAATACCACAGAGTGAATTAAATACTTTTTCAAACCAATAAATGTACAATCAAGCAGCAAAAATTGGAATTATCCCAAAGATAGCAGTGGCAGATTCTAAAGAATAGGACAGCACTCCAACACCAATCTCGCAACTGCTAGAGAAAGTACTCAGCACTGCAGTACTACAAAAGTTGATCCACACACCATGCACAGAAGGTACATTAAAGACCAGAGAGTGCTCACATTTTTGTTATGTGCATTGGAATACTAGTAAGACATCAGACATGCATATTTGCGACCTCAGTTTCCAACGTCATCTTTTGTTTCCTGTTGAAAGCAACTGAATGTCCCATTTCTGTGTGCTTCCAAGATAAGGATGGGTATATAAACCAATGAGGTAGAAGCCAATATAGATTTTATAGTGATCCTCCTGTAATACTCAGCATTGTGCAATGCGAATGTGACATCTTGTACCACGCCAGTATGACTGAACTCCTGAATAGCACTTGGACAGCTAAAGTCAGAGATTTTGGGGAACAAGGGACAGAAAACAGTCATTCACAATCTTTTATATGCAGTGTAAAGCACTGAGTATCCATTTGCAAGTATAGAACTTATCCTGATGGTAGAGTAGCTCAATCACTTTAAATAAGGATTTTCCTTTTTTTTTTTTTTTTTTCCCAAACAAAATAAAAATGAAATAAGTGTGTCTAAATGATCCTCCCAATAACTATGTTCAGAAGGAAGGTAAATACAGAACTGACAAATCTACTGTGTTCTTTCACATGCTACAGAGACTCACAAATATTTGGGGGCATCTGAATAACCCGAACTTAAAATGAAAACTCATGATATAATATAAAGTCTTCTGGAAAATTGCTATCCACAAAGTTCAACTGTTCCCAGGTTGTCACTACATCAGCCCCATGAAGCAGGTGATATTTTTTGCCTATTCATGTTCCTGAACAACTTTTCCCAAATCACCTTCCATGCATGATGCAATGAAAATGAAATCCAGAATGAAATACAGCCACACTAGGGTTTAGAGGGAAGGATGTTTGTCCCCACAAACATCAGCAAGGCAATGATGAGGCTTGGTCCTGCAATGAAAAAATTCTAAAAACTTTCTCTGAAAATAAAAGAAAGCTTAGATCACCATTAGTCACTGGATAGCCTATTTTAAGCCCATCAGAGCCAGTGTGCTGTTCTCATGTTGCTAATTAAAAATGATAGATTCATCAATTAATCTCTCTGCCTGTCCCCTAGTCTTGCTATGAGATTTTTCATTGGGATAAATGGTAGTTAGGTGCCCACAAGTATCGTTTCAGCCCTGAAAACTTGTGTCTTTGTCAACATGAACCCAACCGTGTCTCTTCAAACTATGAAATAACAAAAAGAAAACCACAGGAAGCCTTGGCACTCTGAAAAAACACAACAGATTCATAAACTGGGAATAATTGTAGCCTCTCTACAATAAATATTGCTACATAAATCCTTCCTGGATTCCAATCTGAACTTCCTTGTTGATAGATGAATAAGCCTCTGTTAAATTTGTCAGAGAAAGATGTCCTAAGCTTAGACTCTTGATTGAAACTCAACTGCAATACTGCAGTAAGGAACACCCTACTATTAAGTAAAGGAGCAATGAAAGCAATCTGGTTTTATTCACATTGAAATAGAGACAAAGACAAAGGCTCTGCTATTAGCTAAGCAGAGTTCCAGTGACATGAAGCAAGCTGATAAAATGGGTTATCTTTTTCTCTTTCAATATATGTATCATTGGGCAGTGAAATAGAATTGGGGTGTACAAGGTCAACAAGCCAGCATCAGGCTATGAAGACAGCGATAAAATTATCTCATAGTTCTTAAGTCTGACCTGTTCCAGTGAAAAGCTGCCAAACATAATTATGTCATCCTGAACATCTCTCTCGAACTGTTCGATATATGAAGGAATCACTTCATCTTCAAGCTCCTTGTGAAGGTCACGTGTCTTACTGAAGCTGACAGGCATCACAGAGTCTGAAGAATCTTCACTGGTGACAGGGGCTGCTTGAAACAAAAGTGGTGGAATCTCTCTTAGCAAATGAGATTTCATACATCAATTAGTACTTCTTGGTTGCAATGTTTGGTCTGCCAAAATAGAAAGACAACAATTCATACCACAAAATTAAAAGAAATAAGTAAAAATAAAGCAGGTGGCAGATTCCAAATACCATTACCAGGAAAACTATCCTTAAGAGCAAAGTCAGCATAAATAAGTAAAAATAAAGCAGGTGGCAGATTCCAAATACCATTACCAGGAAAACTATCCTTAAGAGCAAAGTCAGCATAAAGGCACAGCTTGTGCCTTAAGAAGCTCAAAAAGGATACTCTAGAAATCCATGGTCACTTCACTCTCCCATAGAAGAATTTTGATTTGGAGTGACTTTGGTTTTCATTCCTGGGGAAGATTAGGAATAACTGCAATTGGAAGGGAGGCTTAAGCAGAACCACACCAAGCATTTCATCTTCCTCCCACTCACTCTGAAGGATCAGATTCCTCCCCCAGGTGTGTTCACACAGCTCCCACCTAATTAATTGGGTTCGGTTCTCCTCTCACCCACATCATTCCATTGATTTCACTGCTATGACGTATACAGAACCAAAGGGTAAGTGCTGCATGTACATAAAAAATAAATCTAATTCAGAAAGCTGACCTTACAGACAAACTTTCCTTTTTTCACTGCAATTCAACATGCTACTTAAAATGCACATCTTCTCATTGATATCTGCTGCAGTATAAACATTAGTTGGGCTCGTAGATAATAAAGACAATTATTTTTGCTCATTTCTCCATATCAGGATCACTAAGATATGACAGATATCAGGTTGTCCACATCTGATTTCATATTTCTGTGTATAAGTGCATGTTTTTATAGTTCTTCTTGCCTTTCTCGACAACAAAATGACATATCTAGTTATTTGCCTTCCTTTTTCCCTACCCTAAGATATGAAAGCAGTTAAAAGACTTATTTCTCCCTCTGCTTTGATGTCCCTCATTCTTTAATGAAGACCAGAAAAGGAAAGATAAAACTAAGGCTATTAAAATTTTCTGTTTTGTGCACTACTCATTGTTTAATGACTTTAATTGTTGAGCCTTCTGAGCACTTAAATCACCTCAGTGCCACCAACACACAGGAAGTAGAGTTTTTTTTTTTTATTTAATTACAACAGGATACAAATTCAAAATCACGTTGGGGGAAGTGTACAGTAGATATAAACAACCTAAACCATTACCTTAGGGTACACAGAATCTCTTCATGTAGTATCTTACAAGCCTAATGAAAAGTGATTTGACCTACAACTATTAACTGCAAAAACAAAAAGATGTTTACATTTAAATTTACTGTAACATTAAAGGTTTGGCTAGCACAGAAAAAAATCCAGGAAGCACTGGAAATGAAAACATTGCCAACGGCAGAGGATGCAGTATTGCCTGTTCCATACTGTGTTGACACAACGGGCCATATGCTCAGCTGGTATAAATCAGTTGCCTTACTGCTTTCACAGGAGCAGTGCAAGTTTACATCCTGGGAGGACAATACATTCCCATTTCAGATCTGCTGGGTGTAGATAGAGAAAGTCTTCATATATCAAAAAAAGGAAGAAAAGCATTCAGTCTGCAAAGGCAACCATGCAGCGATTCATCAACATAGCCTTCCTCTTTTGGTGCTTATCACTGTTGTGAGGAACTCTATCAAGTGGATTTGGCTTTGGTGGAAGACAGTGAGCTCATTATTGACTGTTTTGTGGAAGAAGAACTAAAGAAGAGAGAGAATATTTTCTAAAGCCTTTCCAAGAGAGATAACTGCTAAAAATACAAACATAAATTATGGCTCAGATTTGAAAATTACTTGATGGAAAGACACATATGATTTAAGCACCACTGGAAAAATTGAGCTGGAGACAAGGAGACAATGTGGTTGGTAGCTCCTTCTATGCTATTTTACAAAGGAGCATCTGAAACTTGGTCACCGATATGTTGCTCCAGATTTGAACTGACCCAGCATCATGCTGATAAAGGCTCCAACCACTGCCTTTGTCCAAAGCTTGACAAAAAAGAAAGTCTCTACCTCCTTGCTGACCAAATTAGCCACTGCTAAAAATGTTACTGATTTATATGCGCAGGAGGAAATGGCTGAAAATTTGAAATGAAGTTCATTGATAGGTCGATAAACTAATTAAAAGCTGGATTCTTTGAGATGTTAGCATCTGTGTCAAACTTCTGATTGCCTTGATTGTATTTAATGGCACAAGTCATACCTTCAATAGAATGTAAATCATTTCTCTTCTTTCATTAAGGCTTTATTTATCGATGCTATGATGTAATTCAAAGAATCTATCCTGTGTTAGCTTGGCTGCTTTTAACTTAATTTACTCCTACATTTGTTCATCGGATAGCAGTGGTTTGTGTTCTGAGTTGGGTCTTTAAAGGACAGGTTTACCAGCTTACTACAACTCAGTGCAAGTTTGAATGCATGAAGCACCTATAAACTCCACAAGGAAAATTCATTTTGGCTGCTTGGTTCTGGAACACTATTTAATAAAAAGAAAACATACCAAAGGCTCATTTATCAAACAGCTAAGTTCCTACAAAACATTTTGCTTTGATTTTTCTGTTGATTTCAAAGAAAAATGTAATAAAAATGTTTTCTATTCTGTGGAACCTGGCATCATTTAGACATACATGAAACACCATTTTATATTGTTTAACAGACTTTATTCCTAGATAAAAAATGTACAGTCTACATCTTCTCTAAAAAGCAGACAATCAACATTTTAGGTTGATTATAATTTGATTTAACATGTACCACAATAGTGACCAACAGAGACAAAATGCTGTAAATATGCAATGATATAAATTCTGAGAGCCATGTTCTTTCTTTTCCTTTGGGGATCATCTATTAATTAGGACTGTATGACTACGTGATTTTTCAGTTCAGTGGTCAAATGGAAAAAAGAAGCTTCTCTATAAAAGTGGAATCAAATGAAACCCAGTTTTCTACAATTTTTTAGATGTCTAATTAGGGTCAAATTCTCATATTAGCTTTTCCATCAATGGAGATTTGTCTGTTTTGCTCAGCTGCCCATTTTCATAAAACTGGTGAGGAACTCAGAGCTGTGAGATTTGTTCTCTGTTAAAAAAAAAAAAAAGGTTTCGGAAGAGGAAAACAGATAAATTTAAAGTGAGAAACAGACAGGCAGAAATAAATACATCTCCATACAAATACACAGAGGTGAAGACTGCAAAAGCCTCGTTTACTCAAGAAAATTCTGCTCTTCTCAGAATTTTATTCACCAAAGCCATAAAGAGCCTCATTAATAAATTCAAGTGGGAAAGGGTGCAACATTCTCCCACAGCACTACTTCTGATGTCTACATGGTTCTTTTTATGAAATAGAAGTGCTGAGACAAGATGGCAGCAGGCTGTTGCAGCTCCCACATTCACTCCATTCTTGCATAGGCACAGGTTTCTGGCATGCCCATAGAACATAAGACATTGCTGTTAGTGTATTTGCCTGCCCTGGAATTAAAACTGGCAGCTCCATGTACCCACCCTCACAGGAGCCCTACGGGGAGATCATCATCTCAGTGCACATCACATACATTCAGATGGCTTTGGTCAAGGGGAAGGTGGTTCCAAGATCCTTCCAGAGGCAAATGCAAGTGAAGAATTGCTTCTAGGGTGTGATTAGTCTGATCAATTGAGAAGCAAATGTGTTACGTGAGATGAACTGCTGTCCAGAGCAGCTTCTCTGACCCTCTCCCATGAATTTAGGGGAAATCACAGCAGCAAACTTTCAGAAAGCTAATTGAAAGGATATTGGACCTTACCTGGGGCGGCCTGTAAATGACATCAAGACATTTTCCTAAATCACACAAGGATATTTGGAGGATAAGGCTATGGAAGATGATGAAATGCCATAAATATTGGTAGAAGAAGACAGTGTCCATCTTTCCTACAGAATTAACATTGACTTCACCACAGCCAAGTATTTTTTTTTTATTTTAATGCATGCTGTTATAAGACAAAAGCAACACACAACCTGCAGCACTGCTATAAGCTTTCTCAGCAATGTGGAACTTGAAGTTAACATGCATCAGTCCAGGACTTCCTAATAATGTGTTAAAGATTAAAGTTTAAGCTACGTGCATGAATATGTTGGTTGTATTTTATTTTCCTTACATTTAAAATAAGACAAAATGGGTTTCAAATATATTACTGATATGACTAATGGCAAATCAAGGGATTTTGCAGCCCCAGGCAAATGAAAAGTTTGCCTCTTCTAGAATAAACTGACTCACAATCTAGTCAGGAAACAAGTTCCTGGACCTCCAGTGCTGTAGGCAACAGCCTACTTTATTCCTCTGACAAAGCATGTTTTGGATATAACAGAAATATTACAGGAAGTACCATGCAGTCCAAAGAACAGCTCACTTATTTATGGGCTTAAAAAAAGACTCAGATTTCTAGCTTTGAGGATGTAAGCAAGGACTTTTCCAGTCTTCATTCCTATGGAATTTAGCAAGAGTGAAGTAGCATAAAGAAAGCACACCACCTAAGTTATGCTTAAAACCACATAAATGGGACTCAAACAAAAGCATTTGGGGGAAGAGATCTTACAGTCTCACAGTGAAATCACTGTCCTTTTTTTCCTTCTGAGTTCAAAGGGATGGATTACCACTCTCCTCCTCTCATTCAGTCTCAAGAGAATTTTTTCATTTATGCATATATTTTAATGCATATATATATATATATATTTACCTTGAGAGTCCATTATCTTGCTTGCTTCATCCAGAAGCTTCATCATTTTACCATACAGGATTTGCTCCTCAATTTTCACAGCATCTTTCAAAACAAAAACAAACAACAGCAAAACAATAGTGAGACATCTAATGTTTCTTTGCTTCTTTCAGCAGTATTTCAGATAACTTTATTTTAAAGTCTAAAGATAAAGAAATACAAAAGAAACACATTATTTTTTGTAGTGTAGAGCTTCATAGCAGAGATGTCATTTTCTTCTGAGTTATGAAAGACATTTTAAAATGAAAAATATATAATTGCACATTTTTCAAAGGTGATCAACATTATATCTTAGTCCGCACTGAAACTGGCTAATTCTGCTAATAGACTTGCTGAACTGATTATATATATTCAAATTGCCAGGTGAATTCTATTTTACTCATAATAAAAATCAAAGTACCTCATTTCTTCTGTAATATGATTTTGGATCTTTATTAAAATTTTTACCTTACTGTCCATAATACTAACACATTATCTAGCACGAGTAGATGTTACAATATACTATGAATTTTCATCTTGGGACAGGATAATCATTCAAATTCCCAATAACATCTGCAGATTTTTAAACAGAGCAAGGGTCCTGGACACATATGTTCCTTTTTTCCTGGATGGAAAGAGAAGGAAATTGTATGTATCTCCTGTTAAGAGTATGACCATCCTGGACCAGACTTCAGTTCTGATCCGTTTTTATTCTATCTAGTACACACAAATAAGTTCTAGTTATACAACTTCTATTCTGCGAGGAAAAAAAGAAACTAGGAAGTAGCTTCTTCATGAGTATGTGTGATAATGAGTTGTTGAGATGTCTGTTGTCAAACTAAGGGATGGACAGATTCATAGACGTACAAATGACTGTGAAACTGACATTATGGCATTCACATGTCACATTTCACTGGCTCTGAGTTGATTATACTACAGATTTTAGGAGGATAATGTAGAAAAATCAGCGTTTTATAAATGACATTATTCCAGGAAAAGAAAGATATTACAGTCCCACTCAAATAATTAGGAATTGGGGGGCTTTAGTTACATTTTGGTGAAGTTTTATTATGTTACTGAAGAGCTGTTATTGTTTTTCTGTCTGATTCCACAGTGGATTGTACAAAAGAAAGCAATTCAAAATTCACCTAAAATTGCAGTGTTTTGTCTTCAACATGCAGAGCAAAAAGGCTCTATGAAAAATAAAAAAAAAACTAAGTAAGCTAGAAAATGTAAGATAAAAGAATGGAATTCTCTTCTCCACAGTTTACTAGAGATGAAAAAGAGCAAAAAATTATTTATTTCTATAATGCTTGCATTCATGACATGCAGTTATGCATCACTGATTTCAAATAAATGCACCCACATCCAACCTGCCATCTATTGATGCTTGGTCAATAGAGCACTTTAACTGCTCTGAAAATGCCAACACGACTAACTTGAGGCCAGTACTGTCACTAGTAGGTCTGTAATAAGCAGGCCTTACCCTAGATTTGAGTGAGATTTTTGCCAGGGAAGAAAAAGGAAGAGCATCAAGGGTCAGCCATACATGTATCTCAAGTCTGGCAGGATACATTTTTGTCTGGACTTTCTTAAAGCTTTCTTCCAGATTAAAAAAAAAAAAAAAAAAAAAAAAAAGATTACATGTGTACAGCAGTTCTTACATGGCCAAAAGAGTGTTTTTTCCCAACAAAAGCTGTACTACCTTGTATTCCTGGTGTCAGCACTCTACAGTGCCGGCTTTTAGGCACATTCACAAGGATACAGAAATCTAATCCACTGTTCATTCTCTGGGTACAAAGCAGACCATGATTCATGAATCCTATTCATAAGATGAACCAAGGCAGCATCGACAAAAAAAATCTTTCACTTGACAACTCTGAGCCAAAAGCTGACTTCTAAAGATCACTGCTGTTCTACACAAAGGATAGAAAAATTACAGGTTTAGGTGTAATTTGCCCTCAATAAAACTAAAATAATCATCTTGTTTTCACCAGTACACAGAAATCCAAGTTACTGATGTGCACTACAGTGTGTTTTTTTTTCTGTCACACGTGGTTGCCTGAAAATTTAAATCTTGGTATCTACGCAAATAAAATTTTCCCACAAATTTCCAAAGTGACTCATTTTGAGACTCTGCAGTAGACAAATATTCATACCTACACAATTTATTTCCACATATGCCTACAATTGTGTGTCTAGAGAGCTTCTGCAGTAGAAATAAGCACAAAGTTTGACAAAACGAAGAGTTGGGGAGGTAGAAACTTAGAAATCAGTCTCACATGCTATTAGGAGGTTTGGGCTTAACTACGGGAGCTGGGCCGAAGCATTCAGTTTGCAGCTGAGCACTTCATTACCATGATGATGTTCTTACCTAAGCCCACGCAAATTCAGGCAGGCCCGTTCCCACCCTTTTTTTATCTAAAAGTGAAGGAGAATTTCCTCTGTGCACAGGAAAAAAAGCAACACCTCCTGGTTAATCTCTCTCATACCTATGCATAACTTCTCCCAGCACTGCAATCACACCCTCCCACTCCTTGCTATCACCAACAGACAACAAAGCTGAATATCTTGGCTAAACTAGTAAAAAGAAAACCCAAAGAGGCCTCCTGTTATGCTGGGAACTCTGGACACTGGGGTTTCTCTTCTGTTAAGCAAACAGACGTTCAACTTATTAACAAAATTGTTGTCTAACAAAGGCTTTGGGTTGCAAAACCTGCAGCTTAGTATTCACTTGTAGACTAAGTATGTTAATTAAAGAGAACATGGTGTAGACAGTTTTCTTGGAGTGTTTATTATTATTGCTATGGTGGGAGAGTGAATACAGCACCGCCTCACTTTTACCTGTCCATTAACTCACTGTCCTTGATCAAAGACTATGCATACTGCCTATCATGTTCAGAGCAGGTAAGACTTATAAATTAAATTGTAAACCTCAATATTTAAATGGAACTGCATACGTGATCTTTGTCACCTCATTTTCATGAATGGAAAAGAATATTCTGACACCAAAATTACATACTTAATTCTGCCTCACCTTCTTCACTGACCTCCATCCCACACTGCCTTGGGTTTATTTCCTCATCCATCAGTAGGTCAAAGTAATTTCTGCTGTACTCATTTCCTGTGGAAAGCACATGAAGTAAGGGTCAGCGATTATTAGAAGCACATGAACCAAAATGTTAATTTTGAAATCGACACCAGCAAGCAAAGGGGCATTTTTTGCTACTTTATAAGCTTAATTTTTTTAACAAGTCTTCTAAGTCTACTAGTACTGCAATTATCATCTTGTGAAAGGTCAGAAAAGGTAATTCTGGAAACAAGTGCACTTTATGTTACTTTTACTTGAAAACTAATGAGAAAAATTCTCAAATTTAGATGATGGAATGACAGAAAAAGATAAAAAAATTCAACATCTCCAACGTAAGCCAAATTATTCTTGAAACTCATTTTGCAAGTGAATTACCCACACTGCAGATGAATTTGTGTTTCACAGCTGACCCCTCCAATTTCAACAGTTTTAAATTTCACCACTGAGGTTTCAACGTCTGGTGCATCTTTAATACTGTAGTCAACCACAGAAGTGTTTAATTACAGAGGAGATACTAGAAAACTGCCTCATTAATCTGAACAGCAATAATGTTTAGTTGGGCTAGGTAGCTAATCCAAGGTTTTGATGGGGTAAAAACACTCATTTTAGCACTTTCCATTTCAACAGCTAGTTGTATCTGCTCTTTAGAAACTAATCAAGTTCACACACCAAAAAAAGTCATTTGTTAGACTTATCAAGGACCAACACAGCATCTAGCTGCCTGGAGGAGCTCTCAGTACTATCAACCAAAACAATTCTTTTTTACACAAGAGGGAAAGGGATGAGCTTTCTCTTAAAAAATGTTTTTCCTTCAAGAAAATTGTTGCTCTATTAAAATCACCCTTATGTTCACTTCGTCTTCGAGAACAGTAAATTATGACTAAATAGAGAAAAAATGTAGGGTAATGAAGTCCATAACAAATTGTAAAATTCTTTGAACAGGGCTAATACGTAAGAGCTAAATGCATGAGGGTGTTAACTCATCCGGCATACACTACAGTAGTCTGCAGTATATTTGTTTTAGGATCAAAAATAATCCAAACAGCAACTCCTTCTCAGAGACTAAATGAAACTTTGATACGAAACTAGGTTTAATTTATATTTCTAGACCGGCACATTTTGACTGTCAGTCTCTGTTCCTTCAGTGTAGTAAGTACAAGAACTGAAAATTTGCTTTACCTTGAGGTCGCAATAAAGAAAAAATAAATGAGTTTCATTTTTGTTACTTTATCTGTCAACAACTACTAGACTGGTATGAATCTTGGCAGTATGTAATCAAAGTCTTATGTACTGCAATAACAGAGCCATTCTACCTTATTCACTGTAATTGTTTTTCTCTATCACAAAGCACCACGATGTTATATGAACACCCCTGCACATGTCAGTAAAATAATTCACCCATGTGCTCAAGAAGAAAATGACGATACATCTCTATTCAGTTACTTCATAGTCATAAATGTAAATGGCTGGAAAGTATGTGTTGCAAACATACAAGCAGTAGTCAGATAGCATAGGGTTTCTGCACGGTCTTTATATCACAACAGATTCTACTGAATTTTAATGCACTATATTCTTTATCCCTTGGGTTTGGGACTAAGCTCTGGGGAGCAGACTTTTGCAGAACTCTTCACGACAGAATAATTGGCATTTAGGAGGAAGTGTCATGTTGTATTTGAGTCTACAAGGCATGGAAACTATTATTCAAAAAAGAGATACACACACAAAACTATTAACAAAATTGGGTTTTGGTCCTCTTTGAAAAAGCACAACCCTAACCACTTTCTGTGGAGCATGAGGCATTTCATTAAGAGCTTCGGATCAGCCAGGACAACGCACAACTGCAGACACAAAGTCATACAGAAATAATCAGAAGAAGGCTTGATTTCTCCATAGCAATGTTCAGTCTTTAAAGTCCATATAGATGGAAAGACTGCTAAATGTCAGAATCGCTGACTTTAAAGAAAATGAGCTATTTTAAAGTACAGGACATAAGAAAACTTACAGAGAGGCTTTCTGAAGAGAAGAAATCCCCGCAAACCTCGGATGCTCGCTCTAATCTCATTTTACTTTTTTGTTTTCCTTTCAGTTCAACATACACTGAGAATTGAACAACACAGCTCCAGGTAGTACCAGCAGCTCTGGACTCTGGTTTTGTTGGAGGCAGAGAAGGTTACTTTAGATTTAAAATATAAAATTATCAATTTTCGTCAACATAACTTACTGCCTAAGGCATTTTACTAATAACATTTTGTGAGCACGTGAATGGATTACTAATCATTTCACGTTTGCTTTTGGAAATATTTGAAAGTGTATAACATGTAAATTAACAGTCCACTAAGGAATTCACATTGCTCTGCTTCATGGTATAAACACGGTAAAGCAAACGTTAATACAGAGCTTGCTCGCAGGTATTTTAAACAGCAGCAGACGGCTTGGTGCTTTCAAAAAGCAAGTTATTTTGAATATCTGCTGCTGTGAAGAGCTAACTGACTTTGGAAATGTGTTCTATTTGCTTCGAACCAGAGAATCACTCAGACCCAACAACTGAGTTTGAAACTCTATTCATTCCCTTCAAAATTGTGCTACTTCATGTGGAAAACACAATGGATAATTCAGAATATCAGAACTGAAGAGCAAAAACAAGAATTATCTATATGTTCGAATAAAAATGGAAGGAAGGGTGTTGGCACAATAGTGACCAGGTGGGAATTTGTATAGTTTAATTAAATCAAGAGGAGTTGCTAATAAAATTAGCATAATCCTTGAACGCAGCCCATGGGACTCCATGCACATTACTAGGACTGGATGAAACTCTAAGATGGCTTTTAAGTTAAGATGTCTGTAGTCAATTATACAGTTCATGTCCTGAGAATACCACAGAAATGGTGTAAGTAAGGGGCATTTCTGCAAGATCTACTCCACAAAGAAATCAGACAGCCCATACCAATATCATGTCATGGGTACAGCAAGAATTTGTGATGACAGGCAATTATTGCATTGTCCCCTATATTTTACTACTGATTTAAGTTTTGAGTTTAATGAAAGTTAAATAATAAAACTTCACTGGATGGGTTGAGCTTCTCTTGACCAGTGTAAAAATGAAGGAATTACTAATAACCAAGTGGCTGATTACTAGCTGCTTGAATAGGCATTCATTTTTTTTTTTAAATGATACTTGGAGACAAATGCAAAAATCGCTGAATAAGCAAATTTTTTGTTGTGAAATGGGATACACAGATCATGGTCTGAGCCAACTTCCCTTACTAAGTAGGAGCCCTCCCATTTTAGGTAGCAGCATGGTCAGCAGATATCCCTAACAATGACTTAGTATTACATTGCTGGAGTTCTTTATAAGGCAACTCGTGAAAGTCTTCTGAATAAGCCAGAGGAAAGACTGATTTTAGTCTGAGATGGCATTTTACCTAAAATGCTCTTGAAGCATTGCAGATATGGCTCTCTGGGCTGCCCACTGTAAGATTCTGTGTTTTTTTCCTGGTTTCTTTATAATGACATGCAACCACGTGAACCAAAGCAGCATCCCAGAGCCAAACCTGAATATCCTCTAAGAGAGGTGCCTATCTCAATTTGGCTTGGGACTGGGAGGGGAAGAGAAGAGATTTCAGGTGAGACTTTTAAAAATTACTTAAAACTGGAAAATAATTTAGGAAAGGTAGAAACTTTCAGAACAAATGCTTTGAGTTTTTATTCCAAAATTGTGTTGCTAGATATATACACATCTAATGAAAATGTTAGAAAGAAAGTTTTCATTCTAAATAAGACAGTGATTTGGTATATAATCCACAAATTAACAGTAATTTCCTGTTCTTGTTTTGCCAGAAATTAGTAGAAAATTATTACAAATTAACCTGAAATTATATTTTAATTTGGATTTTTGGATATGGTTACTGAAGCACAGTACCAGTTACATCTGTCTCCAATTGTGGCCATTACAAATGCCTTCACTGTAATATATATAAGCTGATCTACATTACTTATAAAAGCTAAATGCCTTAAGTAAGATAAATTGCTATTATTTTGGATTTAGATCTAAAATTGTTACCTATAGGTGTAGACAAATATTATTTGTATGTTCGAGATACAGACATAGAATAGGATTGCTGGGAAGCATTAAGTCATTTCAGACTATCATCAAATATATCAGGGAGTGGGCTGTTTTACACATGGAACTTCAAATTTTAATAAGACTAGGAAGAATTCAATGAAAAAAATAGGCTTCAATGGCATCTTCAAACTTAGAGCCATGCAGCAAGAGCCGGTAGAGTAGATTTTATCTTGAAAACACAGCTTGTTAAATATTATCATCAACAAGTTTCTTTTTGATTTTTAAAGTTTAAAGGTATCGTATGTCATTTTCCTTATCCTCAGCGGAGACCATAGGTAATGAGCAAACCACATAACTGTGTCTGATGTTTATATTGCAAGTCTTGAATAAACTCACTTGTCAGCTTTGACAAGATGCTGGTGAAGGGGCCACTCGTGCCTGAGCAGCATGGTACATGCTGTGCCTAGCCCACACTCTTTGCACCCACTTTCCTTTCCCCCAATCCACTCCTGGAAGACTCACCACGTTTATCGCTGTGCAGATGTACAGCATGGGATTAATTCCTTTTCCTACAGGCAACCGAGGGCCCTGTGCTAAGGAAAACCAGTGTGAGACCTGCAGCTTTCCTGGGGAAACGCTGCTGACTGAAGACTTGAAGAAAGATTTACTGTTGTTGCAGTTCATTTAGGAACACTGTTAGACAACACGACATAGGTCAGTGGGGAAAATGGACACTGAGTGCTACCAGGCTGGTGTGCACAGCTGATCCTGTGCAATGCAGTCACATCAAAGGAACTTTCTGGAACAGTGAGAAGCTCAGAGTTTCAACAGCACTACTATGAAGCAAACAATTCCCAAGTGCTATAAATTAGCCTTAAAAACATATCTTACATACCCTTCTTAAAGGGTATTTCCCAATTATAAAAAGCATCCATTCTTCACAGTTCTTCCCATACCTTTCACAGACTCA